TACGCGCCGGCCTCGGTTTCCACATCGACGGGTATCCCAGAGGCATGGGGCCACGAAGCGCTGTGCTGGGTGGGTGAAAACCAAAATTGGGTGTCTGGGAACGCATGCAGGCGGTCCCACTGGGGGCTTCGGTGGAGCTCCCTATGGGGCCACGAAGCGCTGTACTGGGTGGGTGAAAATGCCAAAGTGGGCGTTCCGCGACGCATGCGGACGGTGGCGTTGGCGGCTTCGGTAGAGCTCCATATGGGGCCACGAAGAGTTGCATTGGGTGGGTGAAAATGCTTCGGGACGCATGCGGACGGTGGCACTGGGGGTTTCGGTGGAGCTCCCCATGCCACGAAGCGTTGTACTCGGTGAGTGAAAATGCCAAATTGGGTGTTCCGGGACGCATGCGGACGGTGGCGTTGGGGGTTTTGGTGGAGCTCCCTATGGAGCCACGAAACGCTGTACACGGTGGGCGAAAATGCCAAATTGGATCTTCCGGGACGCATGCGGACGGTGGCACTGGGGGCTTCGGTGGCGCTCCTTATGGGGTCACGAAACTTTGTATTGGGTGGGTGAAAATTCCAAATTGAATGTTCCGGAACGCACGCGGAAGGTCCCAATGGAGGCTTCGGTGGAGCTCCTTGTGCGGCCCCGAAGCGCTGTACTGGGTGGGTGAAAATGCCAAAATGGGCGTTCAGGGACGCATGCGGACGGTGGCACTGGGGGCTTCGGTGGAGCTTCCTATGGGGCCAAGAAGCGTTGTACTGGGTGGGTGAAACGCACGGAGGGAAGAGGAGGGGGGAGGGGAGGAGGGAGGAGGGAGGGAGGAACGCGGGGACCGTCTGTTCAGAATGAGGACCCAACACCACAGGATGGTTGTGAAAAAATTGGCTGACGACTTGAACTCTTACGCAGAAGGTCACCCTCTTGACGGAGTGAGCACTCAGGCATGCGGCCTTCCGCACGGGACTTCACTCGAGGCCACCCTCAGGTTGACAGTGGGGAGACCCTCGCTACATGTTCCGCAGGCCTTCCTGCGGGGACCCCGCCGCATGCTCCCCGCCCTCTCCCCCACAACCCCCGCGTCGCCTCCATCCTCGCAACCGTTTGCACCTCGCGGCCTCCGTGCGGTTCCCGCGCTGACTATCCCCCTCGCGAGCCTGTCCGCAGATCGTGCAGGACGGTCCGTCTCGGACGAGCAGGTGGGGAGCGCCCCGCAGAGGAAGGAGCGGTTTGCTGAGTGCTCGTCCTTGGTCGGGCTGCTGGCTGCAGCCGAAATGCTGATATAAGTCTATGGACCGTTTCGGGCTCCGCAGGGGCCTCCCCCTCCTCCTCCTCCTCCTCCTCCTCCTCCTCCTCCTCCTCCTCCTCCTCCTCCTCTTCCTCCTCCTCTTCCTCCTCCTCCTCCTCCTCCTCCTCCTCCTCCTCCTCCTGCTCCTCCTCCTCCTCCTTCTCCTGCTCCTCCTCCTCCTCCTCCTCCTCCTCCTCCTCCTCCTCCTCCTCCTCCTCCTCTGGCCTTCGGGCGGCTCCCGAGATCTAGGTCGAAGTACATGCTCGAAGCCGAGGCTGGCCGTGGTCAGGAAAGCCCCCCCCCCCCCCCGAACCTCGGGCGACGAGAACCTACACGTATCCCACTGCTCCCTGGCCAGGCCCACATTGAGCCCAGGAGCTGTGTATACGCCCCTCCTGCCAAGCCAGGAGGGCATGGCGTACCCACCGCTGCTGGCTTCAGGATGGGCCTGGCCAGGGAGCAGTGGACATGTATATAGATGCCATCGCCCCATAGTGGCACCGCAACGGTTGCACCCGGGAACTGGAGCTGGAGCTGTGCCTTCGGCCTCGTGCCCCTGCGCTGGGGGGGGCCAGGGAAGCCTCGGGGAGCTCGGAGCGGGAAGCGGCCACCCGCTGGCGTCGACGCGTCGGGGGCACGCCGGACGCTGAAAGCAGGGATTTCGTGCTTCCCAGATCTCGAAGGCTGGCTCGATTAGACGTAAAAGTGACCTTACGCCGGAGCGACCTTTTTGTGCGGGCCCACTGGGGCCCCCGATCGCCGAACGCGATGCGATGGTATCGTCTTGCGCGCTTGTGTTTGGTCCCGGTGTGGTCCCCTCGCGGCCCCCAAAAAGCCGCGCACCAGAGGTCACTCTTACTCAGGGTCACTCTTGCGCGTCGTCGACAGACCCTGGCACAGCAACGGCGCAGCCCCACCCCCAGACGCTACCGCGGGTTCGCGTCCATGTCGCCCCACCCGTTGGCACCCGAGCGGGCCTCCTTCTCCTCCACAGGGCTGGACCTAAACTGTGTTTTTGGTGCTTCGTTTTGCGGTAAAGGCGGATTCGAGACAAAAGCGAGGGAAAACGAAAACACAACGAAAACGAAAAACACCGTTTAGGTGCAGCCTCGCTCCTCCGCGCGGTGGCGGCGGTGGCGGCCCTCCGCGCCCCCATGGGGCCAGTCGGCGCGTGCAGCCGCTGCTGAGACGAGTCGTGCGCCCTTGCTGGAGCTTGACCCCCCCCCCCAATTCTCGGGCGAGGAGAAATCTGCACACGCACCGGTCCTGGCCAGGCCCATCCTTGGCCCCAGGATCGGTGCATATGCCTTCCGGGCCAAGGCAGGAGGGCGTATGCACCGGTCCTGGGCTCAGGATGGGCATGGCCAGAATCGGTGTATGTGCATAGTTCTATTTCCTCTAAATTTCTAGTTTGCGATGCTGCCCCGATCCAGGCCTCGGAAGAGATTCGCGGGCCTTCGTGCCACATTCGTGCGCCAATGCCCCCCGTCCGATAATCGACGTCGGCGGTGGGTTGAACGAGCTGCACTTGAGCCGCAGTCTACGTCGGCGGTGGGTTAAACGAGCTGCACTTGGGCCGCAGTCTCTCCCGCGCGCGCCAACTTCGAGTTTTGCTGAGAGGGCGAGTGTCCACTAGTCGTTTTCCTCTGCCGTCGCTCTCCCACCACCGTTTGGCCCCGACGCGGGCAGCTCTTCGCCGTTTGTCCCGTGGCTCGCCTCGCCTGAGCTTGGCCCGGCCGTTCACTCCTCGACCTCATCCCTGCACTGGTCGGCGGTGAGCGAGGGGGGAAGTGAGAAGGAGAACGCCTTCCGAGAAGTGTTCTGAGCCTTCCCCGAAGACACGGAAAACTTCTCAGAAGGCGCGAAGGCCTCTGAGAAGTCCCTCCGCCTTGTGAGAAGGCCTTCTCCTTCTCATTTCTCCCCCTCTCGCCCCACCGACCTGGGCCAATCCGACACCCACGCCTCCGCCTATTTTGGGGTATCTTGCTGATCCGCCCTGTGGGCTGGCTACCGCTCCAGCGTGTTCAGTCGCCAACGTTCTTACTCGACAGCTGCACTTCCTCTGTTTGAGATCGGCTTGCCCCATGCGCCCTCCAATGGCGATTCCTTCTGAAGTGCTGATGGTGCTCTCGCACCCTGGGTCTGTCTTACACTTCCAGGTGTGGTGTGAGCTCGCGCATTCTATCCAGAATTTGTTCCCCAATCGGTGATTGCACTGAAGGGGTCTCCGTGGAAGTTGTAAGGCCTTGGCGAAAGTTCTTAGCCGATTTCGTTTGGCGGCCAGGCTCTTGTATTTCCGCGATTGGAAAGAGTTGCCAGAAGTTATATGCTATTTCTGTTGGCGGCCACGTTCCCCGTTCTTGGGCTCGTGTTTCTTATGATGGGGATTTGGTGGAATTGTGCCGCCGATTTTGGTGGGCTACCGAGTTCCGAAGTGTCTGATTCCCTGGATCCCGATAGGTTGCATAGTAGTGGGTGGAGACCAGACGGAGTAGAGAGCAGACAGTTGACGGGGTGCAGGGTACAGGGTGGCTAGCACAGACAGGAGAGAGGAAAGTAGAGATAGTATCCGAGATATTCAAGAATGTAGAGAGGGTAAAGAAGGTAGACAGGATATGGACGATTGAGAGAGTTGACGCAAAGAGTACAAGCAGAGACTAGATAGCCGATGGCAGAGAACAGAGGAACCAATGCGTCAACCCCGTATGCTCGCCCGCCACCAGCGAGTTGCCTCTACACTGTTACTACATAAAAACAGACGATGTGTTTTGTTCTGGCGTGAACCCGACTCGTCGCATTCGTTCGATGGTCCTCAGGGGCACCTCCGAGCTGTCTCTCGCGACGGGCTAGGCTGTAGCTTGACCGTGAGGCGCCCCTTCCGTCGTCGTCAGTTCCACTTTCCCGTCCGATTACCATCCTCCCTCGCTTTCTCCCCGCCTCCGGACTTGTCCAAAAGTGCGCTCTGGCCAGAATTTTGAGGCCGATCCAGCCATGCCGACGAAGGCGCCCCAACGAGCCCAGGACTGAAAAAGAATTGTCAACAACCCGTACAAACCTTCGAAGCGGAATGCGAAGTGAATTAGGCGTTGCCACGCGAACTACGTTGGATCGTGGCATGAAGCCGCGCAATATATGGCGCCCCATGGGCAGATATGGTTGACAATTCTCATGCTCTTGCACGTGAGCAGACGCGCCGCTTCCCGCAAGCACTGCTTATGTGTGCTCGGTCCCGCCCTCTTGCCCCTCGCCTTTTGTCCCCGCCCCGGCTATTGCGGGTGCTTTATGTTTTGCTCCCAAAGCCCCCTTTGAGCCTTCACAAGAGAAGCGATGTTGTATTTGTTGCTCCCTCGTCCCTCCTCCCCATGTCCCCCTGCTTGATCGAGCAGTGCACTGGTGTCTGCTTTCCCCTGGCGCCCTATATGGGAAAACCCTCGTGCGAACGGGGTGACTTGACTTGACTTGTAAACCGTCGACCCTCCTCCTTCTCCTCATCCTCCTCATCCTCCTCCTCCTCCTCCTCCCCATCATCCCAGGCCCTCCTGCCATAACGGCTCCACAGCAGCCCCTGTAGGTACCGCAGGCGTGCCTGGTGCTTGCACATAGGGCCATCTGCCTCCATGTGCCGCAGGGCGGAGTTGACACTCTTGGAATGTCTGGATCTGCCACGAGCGCCCTGTCTTGTCTTGCCTTGCATCCCCATCCTGCTTCTGCGTCAAGTTCCCAGGATGGCGCTCAAGGACCGCAGGGTGGAGAGGTTGCGGCGCCTGCACAAGCGGATCGTCGCCGACGTCCAAATGGCTGCACGCCGATGCCGCACAGGAGAAGGGAGTGTGGAGCGAAAGTTGTTCATCTTGAGCACTGACATCTAGGGCGCCTCCGAGCGGAGCCCCCCTTCCCCCCGTAGACTCCTAGCTCGGCAGCCTTCGGCCTGGTTGGGCGGGAGAGCTTTCCGGGCTTCTCCCTGGTGTACAATTAATCGTATATAAGCAATTCGGGATAAAATCTCTCCCCTTACAAATTCACCAGGGGGGAGTCACTCCCGGCCACTTCCACGCAATTCTGAATATCAGCGCCCAGGCATATCAACTTTAGCCCAGATGTATAAACTTTCGTAACGGGGATGTACATTGGCGTGATAAAGAATTATGTGGTCTGCGTGCAAGATGATTGGCGGAGTCGGCGGACTAGAAGCTACTCCGCGCGGACACCCATCCCGCCCCACTTGTCATGACTGATTGGGCGGAGTAAATTCCGATCCTTTTTTGAGATGACAGAGCTATGAATTAAGAGGGGCTCAAAGTACTCCGCGCAAGCGAAGGGCCATGAAGGGCCATCTTCTCATGTTACGAATCGTCCGCGGGGTAGGAGCTTCCAACATCATACCAACCCGCATAAACTTTCGCCACGGCCGTGTAGGCAGGGTCCATTCGATGCGATTGATGCCGATTCCAGCCAGCTCGATCCGATTCGATTCCAATGTTCCGGCGATCCGATGCTGCGTGGTGTTTGCATGGCGTTGTTATTAGTTCTGGCGCAGCCGATCCGATTCGAATTCAATTACGTGTCGAGGCGGCCTGATCCGATGCGCACTTCGATTCGATCCGACTTACCGATGCGATGTTGAACGATCCTAAGAAAGGGGGGGGCATATTTTGGTGGCAATTCATGGGAGCCTTCTATGTCCTCCGAAGTCCGTCTTTTGGAGTGCATGAACGTGCGCTAGCGTCTGGTAGTCGATGAGAATGTCGCCGATTTAGCGTCGGCTAGCGTCGATGTAGCGTCGATGAGCGTCGGTCATTATCGATTGCTCGAAAGGCCCGCGTTAGTTGCCACAGAAACGCACCCTCAACATCGTGAACAAGTCAAGACTCATTTCTGCTCTGGATTGGATGCACAGCGTCTGGGAATCGTCTCTGCGCCCCCGGACCGTCAAGGTATACAATCCAGGATAGCAGAACAGATCCAGGGAGGGTCCAGACCGTCGGCCCCCGCGGCGTAAACAGTTTGGTGCACAGATGCATATACATATATATATATATATATATATATATATATGGCTACGGTTATATATGTATATGAATATGAGCATGCATGTATAAAACATGTGTTACCGGCCTACTGTGTTTCGCCTTTAGAATCATCGGGTTCAGAGGGCATATAGAACTCATCAGCGCGTAAAGCTCCGAGGGCTCATATGATTTATAGGGCTCATTCGGCTCATAGGGGTCATAGGGCTCATAGGACTCATAGTGCTCATAGGGGTTATAGGGCTCGTAGGGCTCCTAGGGCTCATAGGGCTCACAGGGCTCATAGGCCTCATAGGGCTGATAGAGCTAGTAGGGCTCATAGAGCCCATGGGCCTCATAGGGCTCACAGGGCTCATGAGGCTCATAGGGCTCATACTCATAGGGCTTATGGGGTTCATAGGGCTAATAGGGCTCATAAGGTTCATCGGGCTCATAGGTCTCATAGGGCTTATAGAGCTCATATGGTTCATATGGCTTATAGGGCGCATAGGACTCATCGGGCGCCCAGGTTTCACCGGGCTCATGAGGCTAATTGGGCTCAAAGGGCTCATTTGGCTCATAGGGCTCAGAGGGACCAGTGGGCTCATAGGACTCATAGGGCTCATAGGGCTCAAAGGGCTCATAAGGCTCAGAGTACTCAGAGGGCTCATAGCTCTCACAGGGCTCGTAAGGTTCATAGGGCTCAAAGGCCTCGTTGGGCTCATAAGGCTTATAGAACTTATAGGGTTCACAGGGCTCACAGGGTCATAGGGCTCATAGGACTCGTAAGCCTCATAGAGCTCATAGGGCTCAAGGGGCTCGTAGGGCTCAGAGGGCTCAGAGAGCTCATAGCGCTCATAGGGCTCATCTGCCTCATAAGTCCCCAGGCTCACCGGACTCATGGGACTCATGGGGCTCAGGGCTCATAGGGCTCGTAAGTCTCATACGGCTCATAGGCGCCGGACCGGTCGCGAAGTGATCCTGGGCCCGCTCGGCCGACGTAGGATGGCCTGGAAGGGCTCCCGGACCCGAAAATTCGAAGTTCACGCCAGTGGGAGCCCCCATGGCCGAATTGATGTATGGGGGGATTTCCCTCAGAAGAATATTCGAGAAGGTATGTGTATATAGATATGTATAAGACAAAGAAGAACAACCAAAATCAAACCTTGTCGGTACAGGATCAGGCTGCGCAGGCGCCTTCGCGAAGCGACGGGCACAAGGTACCATGGCAGAGGAAGATGAGCCAGATGATGGACGGAGGACGGAGAGGCAAGGCGGAGGAAGGAGGAAGGAGGGATCGAGCAGGGGTAGGCGGAGGATACGGTTTTGTTCTATGATCTGGCCGTCTGGAACTTTTCAGGGGGATCCAGAGGCCCCCGGGAGCCTCCAGATGTCAACTTCTCGATACTTCGGTCCTCGATTTACCTGGTAACTTCTTGATTCGCGATATGATCTTCTCGCGCCTCCTTTCAACGTTGAGCCAATTGCCGCTTCATGACCGTTCACATACGCCATCGCTTGCAGGACAGCTCGTCTACGTGGCTGGACGCTTCATTTGCACGGCGTTTGAAGTAGCTTATTGGTTCCACGATCTAGTCATCGAACCCATGATCGTGCTGGTGTGTCAAGAAATTAGCCCGGTGAAGACCCCGACGATTCCTAAACAAAGGGCACTAAAACAGGACAATTCAATGCACGATTACGAGGCGAAGGATCTGCAATACCCCGGAAAGGTAGCGGGGACGCCATGCAGACGCACCCACTGGGGCCATGGGTGGAGCTCCCCGGGGGGCAGGAAGCGTATGAGAGGTGCGCCGACATTGATGCGGGGACTCCCTGCGGACGAACCCGCTGGGGCCACCGAAGCCGCCACCGTGCTGACGATTCAACACGATGGCGGGCTCGGTGGCCCCAGCGGGTTCGGGCTAGGTGGTCCCCTACTCGGAAGGTTGAGGAGGAGGAGGAGGAGGAGGAGGAGGAGGAGGAGGAGGAGGAAGGGATGCGAGGCGAGGCGTGCACTCCTCCCCATCACAAGCTGCTCGATGCCTCGAGGGCGAGGCCCTTGCGGGAGCGCCCGCGCGGCGGGGGCCGCGCCCCGCCACGGCGAGGGCGCCCTCCCGGAGGCGAGGGTCGGCGGCTCGAGCGGCTGTGCGCCCTGGTGCTGCACACCTGGAGGGCGGGGCGGAGCAGGCCGCACGCGCGCGCGCGCCAACGCGCGCCTCGCGGACGGAGGTTTTCTGTGTGGGAGTTGGGCTGGAAGCCTTACCGCGGGCGATGTCCTCCTCCTCCTCCTCCTCCTCCTCCTCCTCCTCCTCCCTCCTCCTCCTCCTCCCTCCTCCTCCTCCTCCTCCTCCTCCTCCTCTCCTCCTCCTCCTCCTCCTCTCCTCCTCCTCCTCCTCCTCCTCCTCCTCCTCCTCACCCCTCCTCTAGGGCTCGTCGAACGTAGCCTCCCCGTCCTCCTCCTTCCTCCTCCTCCCTCCTCCTCCTTCATGATGCTATGATTATGAGCCTGACCCTGCACGGATCGGGGCCAGGGGCGGTAAACCGAAAGTGCCAGGAAGGGCGAGACAAAAGAGTCGGAGGCAAACGAGCCAGTACGAGATCGTGTCAATCGTGTCAAGACAGCCCTCGCACCCGAATCTGCACGGGCGGCTGGGAGGAGGAGGGGGAGGAGGAGGAGGAGGAGGAGGAGGAGGAGGAGGAGGAGGAGGAGCAGGAGCAGGAGGAGGAGGAGGAGGAGGAGGAGGAGAAGGAGGAGCAGGAGGGGGAGAGGAGGAGGAGGAGGAGGAGGAGGAGGAGGGAGGGAGGGGGAGGAGGAAGGGGAGGCCCTTGCTGCTCAGGTCGTGTCCTGCGACACTCAGCTTGTGGCCTTTGTAACCTTGCTGGTGGCCCTCGTAGTCCAGCTGGTGGTCTCCGTAGCCCAGCGCGTGGTCGTCGTAGCCCAGCTTGCCGACCTCGAAGGTCAGCTCATGGCCCTTGCAGCTCAGGTGGCCCAGCTGGTCAGACTCGTAGCTCAGCTGGTTGCCGTCGTAGCTCAGGCTGAAACCCTGCGCTTGCTGGTGGTCAGCTTAGCTCAGCTGGAGGTCCTCGTGGCCCTGCTTGTGGCCCTCGAAGCTGTGCTCGTGGTCCTCGTTGTTGTGCTGGTGGCCATCATAGGTATGTTCGAAGCTCTGGTAGCTCAGTAGGTGGCCCATGTGGCTCTGCCAGTGGTTGGCGTTGGGCAGGTTGTTGTCCTCGTAGCCTTGCGTGTGATCCTCGTAGCACCGCCTGTGGTCCTCGTAGTTCAGCCGGTTGTCCTTGCAGCTCTGTTGGTAGCTCTTGTAGTTCAGCATGTGGTCATCGTTCCCCTGCCTGTGGTCCTCGCAGCTCAGCCTGTGGTCCTCGTAGCTCAGCTGGTGGCCCTTGTAGCTTTGCTGGTGGTTCTGCTAGCTCAGCTTGAGGCCCTTGTACCTCTCCTGGTGCCTCTCGTGGCTCAGCTGGGGGTCCTCGTAGTCCAGATGGTGGCCCTCGTGGGTATGTTGGAAGCTCTGGTAGCTCAGCAGGAGGCCTGAGTAGCTCTGCAAGTGGCTCCCGTAGCACAGGTTGTGGTCCTCGTAGCCCTGCTGGTGGCCTTCATATTGCAGCCTGTGTCCCTCGTAGCTGCGCGAGTTGCCTTTGTAGCTCTGCTGGTGGTCCTTGTGGCTCAGCAGGTGGCCCTGGTACCTCTCCTGGTACCTCTTGTGGCTCTGTTGGAAGTCCTCTTAGTCGAGCATGTGGTCCTTGTAGCTGTGCTTGCGCTCCTCGTAGTTCAGCTGGTGGCCCTCATAGGTCTGTTGGAAGTGCTGGTAGCTCAGCAGGTGGCCTGGGTAGCTCTGCCAGCGGCTCCCGCAGCTCAGGCTGTGGTCCTCGTAGCCATTCTTGTGGTCCTTGTAGTTCAGCCGGTGTTCCTCGTAGCTGGGCGGTTGTCCTTGTAGCTCTGCTGGTGGTTCTCGTAGCTTACCAGGCGGCCCTGGTACCCTTCCTGGTGTCTCTCGTGGCTCAGCCAGAGGCCTTCGTAGTTCAGCTGGTGGCCCTCGTAGCATGTTGGAAGCACTTATAGCTCAGCAGGTGGCCTGGGTAGCTCAGCAAGTAGCTCCCGTAGCCCAGGTTGTGGTCCTCGTAGCCCTGCTGGTGGTCCTCGTAGTTCAGCCTGTGGCCCTCGTAGCTCAGCTGGTTGCCTTTGTTGTAGCTCTCCTGGTGGCTCTTGTAGATCAGCAGGTGTCCCTGGCACTTCACCTGGCGCCTCTGGTGGCTCAGCTGGAGGTCCTCATAGTGCTGCTGACCCTGGTAGCTCTGCTGGTGGCTGCAGCAGTTCAGACGGCGCGCTCTCTTTGTAGTCCCCGAGGTGTAAATCGGAGTCGTCGGTTGCCAGATCGTAGTGTTCCACGTCCTGCGGCCGGTGTAGTCGTGGGGGTCGTAGGAGCATAGGTCGATATCGAAAAAGCTGTCGTAGTCGTACTGGTAGTATGCGGCGCGGCCGTAGTCGTACTCTTCGTAGGCGGCGCGGCCGTTGTCCAATGGTACCTCCACGACGACGTACTTAGTAACCCCTTCGGTCTGCTCGGTCGTGTCGTTCCTGGTGTCGAACTTAGTGACGTACCTGGTGTCGTACATACTGGTGGTGGTCGTCTTGGGGCTGTCTAATAGGCAGTTCGTTCTCGCACTTGGGCTGCATGTCACGCAGCTCGTTCTCGCAATCAGGCTGTATGTTACGCAGCTCGTGCTTAGGCGCTCTCGCGAGGGCGGCCGCAGCAATGATAACGATGTCGTGTCGAGGCTGTATCCCCTGCCGGACGTTGTACCCTACTCGTTGTTGGTCCGCGTGTGTTCGCGCCCATGTTCCTTTTTTGCGTGTTTGGTCTCGGTACCTTTGCCGGTAAATCTCCACAGGGGTGGTTTTTGTTCGCGTAGCCCTCAGCCTGCAGATCTTGAGGTTCTACCCGTGGATCTTGAGGCTCAACCCATAGATCTTAAGGTGCTGTCTGCAGATCCTGAAGTTCTGCGTACGGATGTTGAGGTTCTGCCTGTGGATCTTGAGGTTCAACCTCTATGTCTTGAGGCTCTGTCTGCAGATCTTGAGGTTCAGCCTGTAGATCTTGAGGTTCCGCCTGTGGATCTCGAGGTTCCGCCTGTCGGTCTTGGTCTTGCTCACGGCGGACGCGCCCTGCCACCGTCGCGGCGGCACGCTGCGGCCAGCCATCCCAGGGGCGCGCGCGCGCGGCCGGGCGCGGCGGGGGATTGAGTTCCCGCAAACGGCCTTCTCTTCCTCTCTCTCCTCCTCCTCATCATCATCATCATCATCCTCATCCTCATCCTCATGCTCATCCTTCTTTCCGAAAACAAGTCGAGAGCTCGTGCCGTGCCACCGAGCCCGTGGCGTCAAGTTCCCATGTCATCCAGAAGCTGCGCGTCGACTTGTAGCATCAGCTGCACTTCTTCGGCACTCGTAGCCTTCCTGCGAGGCAGCCTCCAATCCGGCAAGCCAGTGATGCGGCTGCGCGACTCGTCCCCCCAGGGCACGTGGACTCCACCCAGTCCGCCCGCTCCTCCCGCTCCTCCTAATCCTTCTCCTCCTGGTCCCCCTCCCATATTCGGACGAAGCTCGGACGAGGATAAACCCGTGCCGGGGCCCTCTGGAATGCTCTCGGGGCGGTCCGGATCGCTCTGAGGAGGACACCGCGCCCGGCACATCCTCCAGAACCGCCGCCAGATCCCAGAGATTCTCGATTTGTCTTCGCCCGATGTGGTCCTCGCCCTGGCTTCGTCTTACCTGGTGATGCTCTCGGCCGCAGGTTCGACGAGCGGGTCTCCTCACCCGTCTCGCCGTCCTCCTGCCCCTGCCCGCGGCGGCCCCCGAGTGGAAGAGAAGGAGGATGAGGATGAGGCGGAGGCGGAGGAGGAGGAGGAGGAGAACGAGGAGGAGGAGGAGGAGGAGGAGGAGGAGGAGGAGGAGGAAGGAGGAGGAGGAGGAGGAGGAGTGGGGAGGAGGAGGAGGAGGAGGAGGAGGAGGAGGAGGAGGAGGAGGAGGAGGAGGAGGAGGAGGAGGAGGAGGGAGAGGAGAGGATGAGGGGGAGGAGGAGGAGGAGGGGGAGGAGGAGGAGGAGGAGGAGGAGGAGGAGGAGGAGGAGGAGGAGGAGGGAGTGGGGAGTGGAAGGGCGCAGGCCGACTGGGTGGGGGCCCGGCGGGGAGCAGAGAAGAGGCGGCCACCAGCGCGCGCCTTGCAGCAGAGGTCGATCGGCTCCAGGCGCAGCTCCGCGCAGAACGTGCCCAGAGAAGGGAGGTGCTGCCCACGACAGGCGCTCCAACTCCTCGGAGGGAGCTCGTGTCAAAAAGCGGGCCCACCGAGTGTGGGAGCAAGCTGCAGTCAGTATGAGCATGAGGAGGAGGAGGCACAGGATGAGGAAATCGAGGCGGAAGATGAGGATGATAACGCTGGGGAAGCACAACAAGTTCCAGGATGAGGAATACGAGGAACAGGAGAAGGAGCGGGAGTGTAAAGGCCAAGGATGAGCAGGATGGGGAGGAAGAGCAGCATGATGAGCGGGAAGTGGGGGAGAAGCGAGAGGCGAGGAGGAGGGAGAGGAGGACGAGAAGGAGGAAGATAATGATGATGACGAGGATGAGAAGAGAGATTAAGGAGGAGGAGAAGGATGAGGAGGCGGAAGGAGGAAGATAGAGAGGAGAAGGAGGAGGAGAAGGAGAAGGAGGATAACAGTAGAAAGATAATAATGAAGAGTAGGACGAGGATGAGGATGCTTGGCACTGGGGGATCATACATAGATCAGCTGGTATACATATGGAAACGATGTGCTGTTGCGCGTGTTGTGTTCATCTGGGCGCGGTGATGGTTCAATGTCCGGCCTACGTGGTCTGTTTCCCACATTACCGCGAGGTGCATGATGGCCGAAACACCGGATGAGGAAGAAGTGTTCGTCATAGGAAATACAGTGCTTACGGACAAATAAGTAGTACAACGGCGATAGCGATGCACAGTACTTCCAAATTTCCAGTAGCATTGAAGATTTCAGACATGTAAAATTCCTACGCAAACCAGTCGGTTCACCATTGTCTGCAGGGGATGGCGGTGTGACGGTACTACCTGGGAGGTTTCAGTCGTGCATATGCACGTGGTTATACACCGACATCAGCAAGAAATGTCGAAGTCGAGGAAGTTAGTATGGGAGGTTGGTGGTGAGACCGAAGTGAAATGCAGTTGCCCAATTGGGAAGCCAGTTTCGGTTCGTGTCGCGCGTGCGGGCGAAGCGAAGCAGCACGAGTCCGTTGCTAGACCCAAGTCGCGCCAAAGCCAGGCGCATTGTCTGGGGCGTTCCCGGGGTTGTCCCGCGGTTGTCCCGTGGTTGTCCCGTGGTTGTCCCGTGGTTGTGTGGCGTGGCCAGGGTTGTCTCGGGGTTGTCCCGCGGTTGTCCCGTGGTTGTTCAGTGGTTGTTCCGTGGATGTCCCGTGATTGTCTTGTGGTTGTTCTACGGATGTCCCACTTGTAGATCGATAGTGAGGTAGAAAAGGAGACCGACAAATTATAAGTAGTGAGATCGGTAGGTAAATTATGAAGTTGCTAAATCGTAGGAAAAGGAGGCCGACCAGTAGAATCATAGTGGCATTCGCAGTTTGAGAGTGCAACCGATAAATAGTCAGATTGGTGTCCCGTGATTGTCCCGTGGTTGTCCCGTGGGTTGTCCCGTGGTTGCCCAGTGGTTGTCCCGTGGTTGTCCCGCGGTTGTCACGTGGTTGTCCAAGTGTTGTCCCGGAGTTGTCCCGTGAGTGTCTTGTGGTTGTCCGTGTTGTTCCATGGTTGTCCTGTGGCTATCTTGTGGTATTCCCGTGATTGCCCGTGGTTCTCCTACGGTTGCCCCGTGTTTGTCACGTGATTGTCCCGTCTGTACATACCGATAGATACGTAGTGAGATAGGCGAAACATAGATGGTGATAGTCATAAACGGATAGTTCGGGAGACCGATCAATTTTGAGATCGGAGTGTATGTACCATAGTGGAATCATCAATCATGAGACCTCAAGAGATCGATATATACATAATAGTGGGGTCGTTGGATGTATAGGTGGCGAATCCGGTCCGACGAGAATCGCAAACCGAAAGTTGCACACATACCCCCCCTTCCCGAATCTTCGTATCACCTGACGGGTGGTTTTGAAGGCATGCATTCGGTTTCCACCAGAAATTTCAGTTCCCAGATGGACACATTCGCGCAGCGGCAACATGACTTCGATGATCATGTAATCCAACACGTCTGTCCCGGTTTACAGGAGCGGTCCGCCAACTGGGAGGCCATAATCAAACACGTTTCCACCACGCACCCAACTACCAAATGTTCCTTCCGTATTGTTATGTCGATAGAAATGTTCGTGGAACGCCCGATCCAAATCGAATCAATGTTATGCTGTTATTTCTGCTGGTGGGTCGTACACAAATTCGCATTTACCAACCATATGGCACGCCCTAGCGATTAATTCTGGCAATCTGCCCTCCAAGTTGTTCGCTTAGTCAGCGGAACGAGTCATCGTGCCCAGGTGCGTCGGGAAGATGTTCACGCACTTTTGCTCGACTTAGGTTGATGGGCTTCGCTCATCTTAAACATGCACTGGGCGTCTGTTCATGTTTCTCAGCTCGGCGTGTTACAAATGATGGATTCAGCGTGTTCACGTCCCCAAAAGACTAGATACGCTAAAACATGTACTAGTTGTTAACTGCGTTGTCACTTGTCGTTTTCAATCGTCGGAGCCCGCTGCGGACGGGCCGTGGGCTCCCACGCCTGTTTCGCACCGATGGGAGACTGGTGTCAGCGCGTTCTTCCCGTCGTCAGCTCTGCACAGGGGAACCACTCTCAGCCCCCGCCCCATTCGTGGATGTTGCGACGACAGCGGGGGAGCGGGAACGAAGACGGCAGGGAAGATAAGGAGCAGTTTTCTACTGGAAAGTTCAGCACCATTAAACATTAGTTTGGCGAAGGAGTTGTGAGTACCACGATTGCGAGTATCGTCTTCGGTTGAGCTCCATTTGGGGCCACGACAAATGTGAGGGGTCTGTCGAAGATGGGTGGCATCGCGCGGACGCTGCCAATGGGGCATTCGGTGGAGCTCCGAATGGGGCCACGAAGCGTGTGAGGGATGTGCCGGCATGGATGCGGCGACGCCGTGCGGATTGTGTTTCTGCCTTCGGTGGAGCTTCCGATGGGGTCACGAAGGGTGTGCAGGAATGGGCGCGGCGACGCCATGCGGACAGTGCCACGAGGGCCTTCGGTGGAGCTCCTTATGCGGCTACGAAACGTGTGAGGGGTGTACTGAAATTGGTGCGGCGGCGCCATGCAGACTGCACCACTAGGAACTGCAGTAGAGCTTCCCGTGGGGCCACGAAGCGTGTGAGGAGCGTTTCGAAATGTGTGCGGCGACGCCATGCGGATTGTGCCAGTAGGGCATTCGGTGGAATTCCCGATGGGGCCACGAAACGTGTGAGGGTGCGCCGACATGGATGCAGCGCCGCGACGCGGACTGCGCCATTAGGGCCTTCGGCGGAGCTCCTGATGAAGCCACGAAACGTGTGAGAAATTTGCATAATGGGTGTGGCGCCGCCATGCAGACTGCGCTGCGCTACTAGGGCCCTTCGGGAGAACTCCCGATGGGGCCACGAAACGTGTGAGGGGCGTGCCGAAACAGGGACTTGCGGGGGCAGAGGCAATGCATGGAGAGGGCGAGAAGGAGGAAGAGGGGGAGGAGAGGAGGAGGTGCGGGTCGCTGGCTCTTCAAAACGAGTACCCAATGCCACAGGATGGTTGGGAAAAAACAATGTCCACGGCGACGGTCTTGGAAACGCAACGAAATACCAACCACGGAACTGGGAACGGAGAAAACATGTAGCGCGTTGTGTGTTTGTTTTTGTGTTGTCAATTTGTTTGCCAGGAGTTTATCGCAGAAAACGCTCACACACACAACACAGACATAAAAGGAACCAAAAAGACAGCTAAAAGGCAGCGCGTGTTCTAGATGTGCATGTTGGTGGGGGCACGATGTTTCGTGGCAGTGGGATGCGATATTGAACAAACAATCGAAGATTCATTGTTCTGACCTTTCAGATACCGACGCTCACCATGATAGTTCTTTGCCCTGTATACAGCTCAACGCGCTTACCAAAAACGAAAAGCGCTACGCAGACCGACGGTGACGATTGGATTACAAGGTGCGCATGAACAGTTCGAATTCCCCATCAATCGGAAATCTTATCATACAAGATACGTGAGAGGAAGTCATACAGCAATTGGTTGGTGATGCTCGGTGATGGTGCGGAAGTTTGCACATCATTCTCTTCTGATGGTGGCCCATGCCAGGTTCAGTTGCAACCACAGGACAGTGGGCACATCAAAACAATCGATAACGGTGGCGACATGCAAGCATTCTTTCCGAACCTGAAAAAACTCTATATTGGCACGCGGCCATTTCAAGAAAAGAGTGAAGACTACAAGGAAAGTATACATCGGAGCAGATTTCTGCGTTTGCGTATTGAGTGTTCCGAGTGTTTGTTTTCTTCGTTGCTCCCCCATCCGATGTTATTTCACGTGCTCGCTGCAAATTGTTTTCGTTGTAAGGCGAAAACTTGGCGTCACTGTACCACCGTTCTGTCCTTAGAGGAATGTTCCGCCGCACGTGTGGAAGCATCCGTCATGACCAAAATAACAGACAATGTCATTATGACCATATGTTCGTATGTGGGGTCGATTTCAGATGAGGGGTGAGATCGAAGAGAAGAAAAGTCTCCGAACGGGGAAATCGATTTCGGGGCGCGGCGTGCGTGGTGCGCGTGCAGGCAAGGCGAAGTTGCACGAATTGTTGCCATGGTTGTCACGATGTTAGCCTCGATGGGTATCCTGATTGTTGTCGTGGCGGTTGTTTTCATGGTCGCTCCGATATTGCCCCAACGATTGTTTTATGGTTGTCCCGATGGTTTTCCCAGTGGTTGCCCCGATGGTTTTCCCGATGGTTGCTCCGATGATTGTCGCGACGGTTATTCTGGTCGTGCCAATGGTTGTTATCAAGATTGTCCGGTACTGTCTGTAATTATCGAACAGTTATCAGCTTGCTGTCTTGAGGTCGCGATGGTTCTCCCGAAGGTTGGTCCGTGTCCCATGTTTGCCCCGCTGTTTGCGAGTGTACGTCGTGCCACATCGGACCATACATTCCAATTTTTCCATCACCCGCATAGAGTGGTGCTCTTATAATAAGTTATTGGAAATTGGCA